AGCCCCCGCGGGAGGGTGCTCGCAGGCCCCCACGGGGGTGTTCGCAGCCCGGGAAGCGGCGTGGGGGGCCCCACGCCGTGCCCGCCGCCCCCTGAGCCACTCGTGTGCCCCAGCCCCGCAGCGAGCGGCGGCGGGCGGGAGGGAGGGTGCACGGCGGGGTGCGGGTGCAGCTCCCCAGCCAGGTTTGGGCTCCGGCCCCCGGCAGCTGGGACCCACCCCTGCTCCGGGTTTGCCACAGTGGCACGGGTGGGGGGGGTCACTCGAGGCAGACAGGGCCCATCTGCTGCGGGCAGCATCCCTGCGAGAAGCTGGGGCTGAGGGCAGAGCCTGGGGGGTGGAGGGAGCGCAGGCTGCCAGGGCGGCAGGCTCCAGTTTTTCTGACGGGAACCCGCCTTATCCCCAGTCTGTCTCAGCAACTGGTTTCAGCAAGCAACACTTGGCATCTTTCTTTCTGACTGCAAATGAAGTGTCACCTGAGGCGCCTGTGACTCTCTCGACTGAAATAAGTGTCTTTCGCTGTGTGACATATTTCCAGTGGTGCGGCCTCATCCTGACTGGAAAAGGAGGTTTGAACAGTCACATCCAAGCAGGAGTGGAAAATGAATTGCTCTGGTGAGAAGCCAGGCAGGCACACAATGAAGATGTAAATAAGTAACAGCTTTCGCACAAGAGGGAGGGGAGGTGATGGCCGACACGGCGGGGCTCAGGCAGCCCGGCAAACCCGGGGCCAGCACCGGAGCTCGGGTGCCAGCCGTGGTGATGCTGAGGTGCCAGCGCTGGAGCTCGGGTGTCTGCCACAGTGACGCTGAGGTGTTGCTCTGAGGGGACGAGCTTTTCCCTTTGCTGCCCCGGAGGCATTTACATCTATAGTTAATCGCTGTTCAACCATCTTAAAGCACTCCGGTGAGAGGAGGAGTGGGCAACAGAGCTCTGGTGGCTTTTGCCACGGACAAGGAAGATGACCCAGGTCAGGAGCTCCTGTGTGTAGTTCCTGGGCGAGACCCGCCTTCTCCTATCCCAAGTGTCGGGCACGGCCACAGCCATTGCAGGCCCCAGGGAACGCCGAGGAACTCTGGATTCGCAGCACTCCTCCAACGCAGCTGAGGCCAGAGAAAAGCTGTCACGGTGGAGGCTTATCGCCCCGCTCCCCATCACACTCTCTTCATCCTGACAATCTAGCTGGGAGATGGAAGACCTGACTCGTCAGAGCAGACTCGATGCCAGGGTTTTGCGCTATAATCTGATTTTCCGGGACAGCTGCAGTCAATAGAGGCCGAGGCCTCGGAGCGAAGTGTGATGCCGGAGCCATCTGTGGGTCTGTAGGGTTTTTAACTAGTCCCTGTGCAGCAACAAGGCTGTGGTGGAGCTTTTCCCAGGTGCTGCCTGCCTGGAGGAAGGGGGTACGCAGCCCTGGCACCCCGCGCCTTCGGGGTGCACCTCCCCGCAGGCTGTGAGTGCTGACGCACTCTCTCAGCCACAGTCGATGATGATGATGATGGAAATCTCCGTCAACAGCCTCGTGTTCAGGAGCAAACAAAGCCAGCTGCTTATCGCCACCGCATCAGGGCAACGCCGGAGGAGGATGGCCCCTTATCACAGGCAGCAGCAGGGAAGCGTGCCTGGTTAATTCTGCCTTTATCAAAGGTCGCGTGCTCCAGCGCCTGCAGCAGTGCTGATCCCCACTGCCCCCAGCCCCCGAAACTCAGCCTCGTGCAGCGCCAGCGCTCAAAGCACTGCGTCCACGAGCGCCGCAGGGAGAAGCATCTTCAGCAAGTTTCTTTCTTTTAGAAAACGTGCGTGCAGAGACACAGTCTGCTCAGAAATCGCAGTCACGCCTGGAGATGTTGCTCCTCGTATAGTTAGAGGAAC